ACAGTATACAGTTAAACAAACATTAGCTGGAAATCAGGTAGTTTTATAGACTAACTATTGCGACATTTTGACTGAAGCAATTGCAGCATGCAAATTGGGATCAGCACAAAATGTACTTTTTGAGTACATTTGTACCTTTGTCTCATTTTTACAATTCCATTAGTAAACAGTCATAAATATGATTTAGTATGTCATAATGATGACTTTGTATCTCATAGTTATCACTTAGTGTCTTAAGTTTGAGTGTTTGTCAAAATATTGATGTCATCATTATCTCATAATTATGTCTTAGTATCTTGTAGTTGTTACCTTTCAACTTTTTATCTCGTATCTTTGGATCTCATAGTTATGACTTAGTATCTTAGTAATCTCAGTTTTTTATGTCATAATTTTGACTTTTTACCTCATTATTATTTAGTTTGTCATAAATTTGTCTTTGTATCTCATAGTTGTTAGTGTCTTGGTAAGTTCAGGTTTTATATCATGATTTTATCTCATAATCTTATAATTATGATTTAGTATCTCATAATTTTGACCTGTCATATTTATGACATTTTATATGATAATTTCAACATTTTATCTTATAATTCGAACATAATTTTGAGTTGTATATCACAGTTGCGACTTAGTATCTTAATCTCAGCTTTTTGTCATAATTTTGATTTTTACCTCATAATTATGATTTAGTATCTCATAATTTTGACCTGTCATATTATTGACTTTTCATATTAGTTTCAACTTTCTATCTCATAATTATTACATCATTTTGACCTTTTTATCTCATAATTATGATTTAGTATGCCATAAGTTTGACTTTGTATCTCATAGTTATCAGTTAGTGTCTTAGTACATTTTATGTCATAATTTCTACTTTTTATCTCATAATTATGACCTGTCATATTTATGACTTTTTAGATCATCATTATTTTTTTAATCTCATATTTGACATAATTTTGACTTTTTATCTCAGTTATCAATTAGTGTCTTAGTATGTTTGGCATTTTATGTAATAATTTCTACCTTTTATCTCATAATTATGACTTAGTATCTCATAATTTATGACTTTTAAAATCGTTTCAACTTTTTTCTCATAATTTTTGACTATCTCATTTATCACTTAGTATCTTTGTAAGTTCAGTTTTTGTATCTCATAGTTATCACTTAGTGTCTTAGTAAATTCAGTTTATGTCATTATATCAACCTTTTAATTCTGACATAATTTTGACATAGTATTTTAATAATCTCAGCTTTTTGTCATAATTTTAAGTTTTTATCTCATAACTAACGACAAGTAATTCTCAGTGAATTGCTCATGAATCTGAACACCAGAAGCTTTTGGCCTGTAGCTCGTTCTGCAGTGGGTTTGATGGAATGAGTCTAATTTTCTCCAGCAGATAAACATCAGCATGTTACACTTACAGAGGAAGCAGATAAGAGAGATAATGAACGAGCTGAAATAGTTGATCGGGTCATCGGTATTCCAGCGGGCCGTGGCTGAGATCAGCAGAAGGGAGCTTTGGACGAGTCCAGGAGATGTTCTGTGATTTACAGGCCTGGGGAACTTCAAACATCTGGCCGGGCCTCTGACGCAGATGAGCGAACAGACTCGCTCCACAGCTGTTGTTTCTGAGACCTCTGGAGCGCTTCATGTCCTGCCAAGAAAACACTGTGCCTCACATCTGACCTCAGGGTGAAAAGTCTCTCTGCGCTGGACTGTAAAAGCCCTTCGGCCATCTGTGGCACGCCCCCAAACAATCAAATGGCACAAAGAGACGCATTCACAACTTATTTTTAATATAGTCTTTGATTGCTCAACTTGTCCTTTCTACGATTTTGTATGCATGCTTGAATGCTACAAATGAGCAATTTTGCAATAGTTTTCTTCTCATTTTTTATCGTTGTTGAATCGTTTCTATCGTATTGCAGCATAAATGGTTACAGCATGCTGTTGTACACATTTACACCAATTTTCTTTCCAGTGTGTTCAATGAACACTGGATCTGACCGATCCTTGGAAGTGAGAGTCTCCTGTGTATTTTTGGTTAGCTAGAAGCCAAGACCAAAGCAGAGATTACAACATTAGTGAGATGCTGTAGATGCTTTGGCGCAGAGCTGACCGCTGGATCTGGACGGAGACCAGCGGCAGGGACCTTACTGCCAGACTCTCGCTACACAGTGAGATGAACGTCAGCTACTGTCTGTAATACACTGGCAACACATGCATACACTAGTGCACAAAAGATTGGAGTCAGGGAGATTTTTTAAATGTTTTTGAAAGAAGTCTCTTCTGCTCACCAAGTCTGCATTTATTTCATAAAAAATAAGGTAAAATTGTGAAATATTATTACAATGTAAAATAGCTGTTTCTATGTGAATATCTGATCAAAGCTGAATTTTCAGCATCATTACTCCAGTCTTCAGTGTGACATATTGCTGCTTCATATTTTTTTGGAACCTGTGATACATTTTTCAGGATTCTTTGATGAATAAAAAGTTAAAAAAGAACAGCATTTATTTAAAATAGATATCTTTTGAAACATTATAGACCACTGGTCAAACGAATAAAATAAATTAACACTTTTATTCAGCAAAGATGTGATAAATTGATAAAAAGTGACAGTAAAGACAGTAAAAATCTTTTTTGAATAAATGCTGTTGCTGTTCTTTTTTTTTACTTTTTATTTATCAAAGAATCCTGAAAAATGTATCACAGGTTCCAATAAAAATATGAAGCAGCAAAAACTGTTTTCAACATTGATGATAATGCAACATATTAGAATGATTTCTTAAGGATCATGTGACAGTAAAGACAATTACTAATTCAGCGCTGCGTCACAGAAATAAATTATATTTTAAAGTATATTAAAATAGGAAACCAATATTAGAAATTGCAATAATATTTCACAATATTACAGTTTTTTTCTGTATTCTTTATCAAATAAATACAGCCTTGATGAGCATAAGAGACTCCCTTTAAAAACATTTTACTGATCCCAAACTTTTGAACGGCAGCGTATACACACACACACATATATACATACATATGCATGAAATGACTAAAACTTTAAAAAACTCTAATTGTAGCTGATAGTTGAATTGGTCAATTGGTTTGGCCTCTTTTAGTTAATCATATATGAAACATCTGAAGCCGCTCTGCATGAAGCAGAAACAAACGGCAACAAACACACTGATACGCCACAGACTCATTTTAGAGCCGCCACATGCTTATTTCACAGATCTAGGCCGTCAGAACACGTGGATTTGCCTCCAGATGCCCTTTGAGCACACTTCCAGTCTCTGATGAGAGTTTGACACAATAAAGAAACCAGGGCCTGTTTTTTCTTCAGCTGTGGATTGGAGCCAGCTCTGTCTTAATGAAGCATATGGCCCACACATTGCTGCTTATAGGGCCTCAGTGGGTGACGGCATTATGGATAAAATACCATGTGTTAGTCTTTAAAATGCAGAGGGTGGTCAGATCTGGGATGCATCTGTTGCGCTGGGTGGTAATGAGTTCACAGACATGTGACTTTAAAGAAAACATGGCTGCCCTGCTGCTGCAAATCATCGCAGTGTTGCATTCTGGGAGGCGGATCCGTCTGATATCAATACAGCTAATTGGATTATGGAAAACACATCTGGACCCGCCCCTCGGAGCTTCTCATTGGTCGATTGCCTGACTGTCAGATTGTGTTGAAGCATATGTTAAAATTGTGGAATAAAAATCACATGAAACATGTTCAAATCATTGTTATATTCACAATGTGATATTGTGATATTCAGTCTTGCTTCATTTTATGTCAACAAATTATTACAAAAAATACTTGTGTGTAAATTATAAATTACAAATTTAAAAGTGAAAAATTATTTGTGCATAAATTACAAATGAGTATTTTTTTATACTAGTAAAAGTATTTTCAATTACAAATTAAAAGATGTTTAAAATGATTTATGTTTATGAATTACAAATTTAAAAATTTATACACTAATGTTAATTTGGGGGTTAATAAGAAGAAAGTAATACTTTTATCAAGGATGCATTAAACTGATCAAAAGTGAGAGTAAAGACATTTATATTTATGTTACAAAATATTTATTTTTCAAATAAATGGTGCTCTTTTGAACTTTCTGTTCATCAAAGAATCCTGAAAAATAAAATCACAGTTTCCACAAAAATATTGGGCAGCACAACTGTTTTCAACATTGATAATAATCAGAAATGTTTCTCAGCATATTAGAATGATTTCTGAAGATCATGTGACACTTAAGACCGGAGTAATGATGCTAAAAATACAGCTGCGCATCACAGAAATAAATTACAGTTTAACAGAGATTCACATAGAAAACAGTTTTTTTTATATTGTAATAATATTTCACAATTTTTTATGTTTTTGCTTTATTTTTTTAACCAAATAAATGCATCCTTGGTGAGCAGAAGAGACTTAAAATCTGCTACTACTTCTACATTGCGAATATTGCCTATTTCTAATTTCTGCAGTGGCTTCGGGTTGGTTTTTGGTGGATTTCAGTGGATCTGATGGTTGTTTTTGAGGTAGTTGTCGACTGTGAGCAGGTTGGGATCTGTACAGCGATGTGCCGTTGAGCATTTCTGCAGCAGATGATTTAGTCTGTTCCTGATGGTGTTTACAACAGATCTCGGCCTATGTCTGGATTTAACTCATTTAGCAACATAACCCCAAAATGTTCCTGTCAGTAAAGTATGAGAACACAATAATGTCTCAAATCATCACAACAGCCGCCACAGAGAAACATCAGCTCTCGTCTCCTCAAGAAAATTGTTTCTGTGTTATTTTGGGTTGAAGTTAGAAGGGGTTTTCGTTAGATTTAATCGTATGTGACGCCGTCATCGTTTCAGCGTCCCTGAGGAGCAAATGCTTCAGATGGAGGTGTTTGCTTTTCCTGTGGTTTCTGGGCTGTATATTGAACTAACACCTCCTCTCTTCATCTCCTCTGTGTTTTTTCCCATGTTTCTCCTCCAGGAGCTGAAAGACGGACAGATGCAGGTCCACCGCTGCCCTCTACAGGGTGAGTACAGACACAAAACGTCTGGATTTGTGCCCTGTTTTCCAGTCTAAACATTCTTATAATTGAGATGCATTGATTTTAAGATGCAAAATGACATAAGGAGGCTTGTTTTGTGAGAAATTGTACTAAAATTGCTAAAACTAAATTTAAATAGAAATATAAGAAACAAATAAGAATGACAAAAGCACACAACAAAATTCCTAAACCTTAAACTAAAATGAAAATAAAAACTGGAAATATAAAATAAAACCTAATTCGAGATATTAAATCATATAAATAAAATATATTATTTTTAGATTTAAAAATACAGTAAAAAATTATATACTAAACTCTGTAAAAAGCTAATTCAAATTATGAATAAATACTACAGTAGTATATAAATACTAAAATAACACTGAAATGGAAATAAATTGCTTTATTTGATGATAGTATATTATATTATTTACTGAAAACTGAACATATAAAAATAAATATATTCGTTTTATATGTAAATATATAAAATATATTATATTTAATTAAATACTGAAAACCGAAAATATAAAAATATAAGCTCATTCAAAACATGAATAAATACTACAATATTATATAAATGATACTAAAATATTATGCTTGAGACAAGACCAGATATCTGCCAACAAAATCAGAAAAGTCCATTTGTTTTCCCTTTGAATTAATCGGATTTTTCTGACCCCATTGGCAGATACTTGTTCTTGTTTTAATCATTTTGATTAAGTTTTCAGAAAACAACACTTATTATCCTCATCATTTTGCTTCTCGAGTAAATGTATCTTAATTAAAGAATGTTTAGACACTTGTACCGTTAAACAAGACACTTTTTATACTTTTGGACCCTACTGCACTCAGTGTAGTGTACTCACAGTACTGTGTGTGTGTTTTTGTGTGTGTGTGTGTGTGTGTGTGTGTGTGTGAGTATGTGTGTGTGTGTGTGTGTGTGTGTATGTTCTGAGGAGAGTTTAGCAGCTGCCTACAACCCTCCACCCCCACACACTATAAATACACACACACACACATACTGATAAATACACACACGCGCGCGCGCTTTGGGACCCTACTGTATGTAGTGTACTCAGTGTAGTGCACTCAGTGTAGTGTGCTCACAGTACTTGTGTGTGTGTGTGTGTGTGTGTGTGTTTAGTGGTTTTGCCTCCAGAAAAGGCTGAAGGATGTGAGAGTTTTCTGCCGTCTGAAGATAGAGAGAGCGACGCGCTGAAGGAAACCTGCAAAGGGAAGAAGCGCATCAGTCTAGATGTAAGTTCACAACAAATACAGTATTTATTTGTCAAGTGTCTTATTACAAAATGCATTACGGTCTTTTATAATCTAAACTTTTTAGAATCTTGACAACAAACATATCATTGGAAAGGTCTGAGTCTCAGTATTCCATATTTTGTGATAGAAGTAATATTGACAGAGAAATTTAGACATTTGTGACAGAAAAATGCATTTAAAAAAATCAATGGAGGTTGGATGGCACCCGGTGGCTGTTTGTGGTATAACACCCTAAATAAACTTTCACAGGAACCTCAATTTTGTTCATATCAACTTCAAATTTGGAACATAACTTTAGACAGAAGGCTTCAATTTTATAGCAAATTTAGAGTAAAACCTGTTATGTAAAATATTAATTTGATATAAAGTAAAATATAATAATATATTATTATATAATATATATAATAAATCTGATTATATTACCTAAAATGTATAATGTAATGGATTACGTTACTAACTACAATTTTTGTCATGTAACTGGGAATCAGTAACAGATTACAGTTTGCAAGTAATCTACCCAGCTCTGATCATTTTATGAACTGATTCACTGAACTGATTTATCATCCAAATAAACTGAATCATTAAATGGGATTTGACTTCACAGCACTATTTTAGAGTACATTTACTCTCTATTAAAATATCTCTAAAAGGGAAACAAAAGACAAACAAGACAAAAATACTGAGGAAAAAATAACAGAAATGTTGGTAGTGTTTTAGTTTCAGCACTGGTCTACATAGTCTGTCATTTTTCCTTTAACCCAATACCAGAGAATGTGCTCTCCAGTTGATTTTGTGCTCAAATAGCAGTAACACAGAGCTGAGTGTGTGTGTGTGTGTGTGTGTGTGTGTGTGTGTGTGTGTTCTGCTCTCATAATGAATGAGACACATCAGTGTCATCCGAACGCATTGCCAGAGGCCTGAAATCACATTCGCAGCATCTCCAGACGTTACTCCAACAATTATCATCCTCGTCACCAGATACCCGTCAACTGCATCTCCTGCCAAAAAGCTGAAACTGAGAATTGTGGTTAAAAAGAAGACGAAAAGCGCCTGTATAATCCCACACAAAACTCCCTTATACATCCTCTCCAACGAAACTCTATACCTGTACAGATTCAATCTTTCCTTTATTAAAAGAGTAATTTGACCATAAATAAACATTCTGTCATAATTTACTCACCCTCATGTTTTTCCAAACCTGTCTGACTTTTATTCTGTGCAAAAACAAATGATGAAGCTTCTGCTTTACATGCAGTACAGTGAAGGGGGATGTTGGATCTGTTTCTGCTTCACAAAATAAATAAATAAGTAAATAAGTAAATGAATAAATATAATGGTTTGGAATAATATATTTTTAGTTTAAGTTTTATTTATATATTTAAGAGTGTATTAATGTGTTTTCATTTTTTTTTTTTTTTTATTATTTATATACTATTATAGTTTTTATTAATACTTTCAATTAGCTTTTCTTCTGTTTTCATTTTCATTTAGTTTAATTTTTAGTAATCTTGTTTTGTGCTTTTTTCATTTTTATTCACTTTTTTTTTTTTTTTTTTTACAATTTTGGTTTAATTTAAAAGAAAA